TGATTACATCATTTCGAATAAACCATATCACTAATTAGAAAAATTATAATTATAATTCGTATACACTAATACGTATAGTCAATGTATATTAGAATATATTTATATGCATTAAATTTATCTATTTTAATAATTATTTAAAAATTACAATTGTCTTGAGAGTTTAATTAGTTGTAGCTTATGTAAATATATGATAACGTGGCATTTCATTAAAATTAGAACAAATAAATTAATACGTTTTAAAAACGAATATTCTCTATTATAATATTTACAGTCTTCAGTTTTTAAGATATATATATAAATACACATTTTCATAGCTAAATATAAATTAAAAATATAAAAATTATTGAAGATGGCAAAACAAAATACTTTGAGAAAATTATTTAAAAAATTCAAGGAATATAAATCGTCATTAATGAATAATGATATGAAAATATACAAAAACTGAGTAATATAAATGATGTAATTTTTATTTTCTAAATATTCTCTTACGTATATTCTCTTACATATATTTTTATTTATTATAACGTATTTAATACGTTATTATTTATAACATATTTAAAACGTAATTATTTATTACGTATATAATAAACTACCCTAATTTATATAAATAATAGGAATGTACACTAGACTTTTAATTCTATCTTATTTATTTCTTACACTGTATAGCTTATACAAAACTTATATTTTATGACTTTTGTTTAATAAATATGAATGTCTGACAATACTTAATTATTTATCATAAAAATCGTGACTTATTTAGTATAAATAAAATGAATTACAAACCAGACAGTTAGTATTAAGCAAACAATGATGAATAATTGCTGCTTAAATTGAAAGTTCTCATTTAGATTATTAATTTTATCTCGACTTACATGAACATGTTAAAAATAATCTATCTTTTATATAATTATATAACTTTATATAGATTTAAATAAAACTAGCGATATCCTATTAAGAGATTTTTAATAATAATAAATAATAAAATAATTTTAGAAAATTGGAAATTAGAATCTTTGCTTAGATATTTATAGAATACTCATATTGAAGAAAATGAGTATAAATTTCACTAAATCAATAAAATGATATATTGTTAATGATATATGATGATTATTTTAGTCTTTAATAATAATAAAAATTATTAAAATTTTATAATATTTTAATTATAAATAATAAATTATTACATTACATGTCAATGTGATAATAATTTTGGCAACTATTTAAAAACATCTGAAAAGATATAAAATTGTTTATCAAATATCAATCTAAAAATGTACTTCTTATAGTAAGATAATATGCAATAAAATATATATTAAAATTAAATATAAAATTTTTAAATTTTACCTTCTAGTTCTAATTGTTTCTTAATATTCGTATAATTTTAAAAAATACGTTGAATGCTAAAAATCGAGTAAACATCGACGACTTCAACTTAAATATTTTTATACTGTTTATTACAAAAATAATATACACTATTTTTAAACTTTTATATAGCTCTAAAGATGTTAATAAACATATTTTAAATTATTTTAATATTATTTTATTTTATAAAATATTATTTTTTATTATAAAAAAATAAGAATATACGTGAAATTCAATATTTAAAAAATATTTTTGTACTATCTGTTTACAAAATAAAAACAAAAAAATTTTAATTAACTTTTGTTTATAATATAAAAATAACATAAAATCTGTATAGAAAACTGGCTTTTCTTATTGTATCCACATTTTTGTAATATTTTGTTCTATATTTATCATCTCAAAGTAAAAATATTAAAAAATTGAATTATACATATTCAATTGCGTACTATAAATAGAAATTTAGCATTAGAATTTTTTTCTATAGCTAAAATATTTTAAACACTAGTATGAAATATCTAATTATTTTCTTACCTATTTAGTGGCACAGTACGTGACATTTAGAATAAAAACTAGAAATATATACATAGATATTCTAAAATAATACAGTTAGTACATTTTTAAAGATATATGCTTCCGTATGGAAATGCTATAATATTTTATATATATATATATTTTTTTATGCTAGTTGTATAAAATTCCATAATATATAATTTCATATTGTATTATTTTATATTAAATTTATAAATTAATCATTTTATATTAAACAAAATCTTATTATAAAGAACATAAAATAATTAATTGTTTTTAAACTAATGGAAAATATAATTCATACACACCATATCATAAAATATCAGATCTACAAGAAATAAAATAAATGAACTATTTACTAGATTAAGTAAAGGTAAATAATTAAGGCGTGAGAATAAAATTAATATAATACATGACTCAGATAAGCAACGGTGGTAGTGATGGTTTGACAAAATTAGTCTTAGTATTTAAGTTCTTGTATTTTAATATAAATTTTATATTCAATAAATTAGCTATTAGATTTCTACAAGTTTTATCATCCAGAAATTCTTTAATTATTATGATAAACACGATAAAGGTAATAAAAAATTTTTTCTTACTTTAGTCATAAATAGTTTTAAGAATGAATAGCTATAATTAATATAAATAAATTATAAAATATATTATAATTTCTGATGCAAACAAATTTTCTATAAATAATAATGTACTCGTGCATTTAGTATTAAACAGTCACCGAATCTTGATTATTTGGAAGAAAGGGAATATATATTTGTTCCACTTTTGAATACCTCTATAATAAATAATATAAGCGATCTTACCTATATTGTTTACAAGAACATTTTCAGCTCAATTATGTTCGGCATTATACAAAATATTAGCTTTTATATAAATATGCATATGAAATCTTTTATATTTCATTATTTGTAATCTATTATATAAACAAATAAGTAAAACTCCCAACAGGTGCAATGACTCGATTTGAAATTAATTTCGAAATATATGCTATACAGTATTCATTTCTCTGAACTTTATTATTCAGTTATCATCTAATAATAATTGCATCGAATAATCGAATATTCCATGATATATAAAACTAAAGTTTTTTTGACATTTTGAATTTAACAGAATTTCATAATGTTTTAAAAGAACAGTATTTCTTAATTATTATTAATTTTTCTAAGATATTATTATAAAATTTAAAACAGTGATATTAATGAAGGAACAAAATATTTTATTAAATCATTAATTTATTTAATAATAATACATGAAATGCTACAGTTATGTATTTACAAATTTATTTTTGTACAATTCGTTTTTGCCTGGAGAATAAGAAAATAACATATTAATATTTATCACAAGCAAAAATATTTTAACATAACTGCGATTACCTTAAAATTATATTATCTCATATAGTAATTATTTACTTCTATTTACAGATACCGAATATCGGTATGTTATCAAAGCGAGTTCTATATGAAAAACGATATAAATTAATTAATACCGTAACAGTTTTCTAACAAAACTAAATATTTAATTAAACTACAGGTAGCTCAATTTATTTATAAAGAGGAATTTGTTTTATTTTATATACATTACAAAAAATGTGTTATTCTGGTACATTGTTTAAAATAGTTGAAATAAAAAGGTACTTTAACATAAATATTAAAAAATAAATTGATATATATTAATATGTATTTTGTCATTATTTACATAAAATCATTTATGAAATTATTTACTTAAATCAAATTTAAAATTTAAAAGAATCGATACTTTTCTTTTTAAATATATATATATATATATATATATATATATATATAGACCTTTTTAAAAGCATCATAATATTTGCTATCTGGTCACTACTTAAAATATTTATGATTATATTAGATTCCTATGTATACCATTAATAGCAATATTAGGAACTCATAAAAATTATAAAGAAATTTGATTTATATTTTGCAATAATAATATGGTATACTAACTTAGTCTAGAATTATATAATTGTCTCATTACATTAGGAGTATTGAGCATCATTAATATTAATTTTCTATTATAGATTACTCTAGTAAAATATATTGAATAAATGTAAACCTTAGTATATGATATCATTAGTATGGTTTATAATTGAGAATCTCATTATATATTTTTATTAATTTTTTATAAATAAGTATAAAGTTTATTTTAAAAACTTTAAAAAATATATATACGATTTATAAAGTTATACAATTAATGATATATAATTAGGTGAAAATATTTTTTGTACGAATCGATACAAAAATATGGAGTAATTCTTAACTTTTAAAATTATTATCATAGATCCTGGCACTTTCCTTGTGTAAACATGATTGACAATACATTTTTAAATCTATATATATATATATATATATATATATATATATATAATTTGTAATAATATGAGTATAATATATATTTGGTTATGATAAGTTAGAAATTATAAAAAATATATTTTTGTTATAATTTCAAAATAAATATCATTTACCAAAGTAAAATAATTATTTAATATTATACATATAATATAAAATAAAATTTTATTTATTATTCTAGTTACATTACAACGAATACTGTTATCACATCCATCAAAATTTATTTATTATATGAACATCAAAAAATCAAATGTTTATATTCTCTTCATAAGTTAAAATTATATTAACAGAAAAACTATTTTATGCAATTCAAAAATGCTTAATGTGATATAATAATTTAAACATAATTAATTCAATTCATTTGATATGAAAACCATAAAAAATATTTAAATTATTTTACCCGTTATTTTTTATTAATCATTAAAATATTAATTTATGCTATTTTTATTGACGGTTTATAAACAAATAGAGTATAATACTTTAGTTAGGCAGTGCCAGTTTCTATTAACACATACGTGTAATAGACTTAATATAAGTTCGTAACTTTATTATCTACTGCTAAAACAGTATTTCCTATTCAGAATATCTAAAATAAAGCCAATACATTATTATAATATTAAATAGAATACTAAAAGAGTCCACTGTTACATTTAGTAATGGTATGACTCCATGTATCTACAATAAACATTTTTCCGAATCCTATATTTAATTTTCTTGCCTATGAAAAAAATAATAATTATTTTAATTTAATAATCAGTTTGAATAGATTAGTGGCTAAATTTTAAATATTAGTTGCTTGTGAACTTATGTATGATCTTCTCGAGACTTGTGTAGGTCCCAATAATAAGTCCAAGAAATCCAAACATGATGACGGCAAAATTCTTTGTTGCTAGAAAAATTCTTTCACGGTGCGTTCTTACCTTCCAAAAGGCACAAGTTTGGATGAGAGCTGGGAATGAAATACCGAGTGCCGATAAACATAGTGCACCAAACAATGAAATAAAAAGCTCCAGTTCCGGGATTGAAATCGAAAGTATAACTAAAAAATAACAAACATTTTCACTGGTATTCGTATTTAAAAGACTGATAATAAAAAGATTCCAATTGAAATAGCTTATAAAAGAATATGATAAAAATTATAAATTTTTAAAATTAAATAAGAATAAGCATTTTTAAAAATTTATGATTAAATCGATACACAAGATTCTATATTTATTGAAACTTTATTTAAATATAATAAAATAAATATTATATTTTTAATAATGTTGAGAAAACTTTAGATTATTATATTGTTATAATATTTCCAGTCTTCTATTTTCATATATTATTGTTTACAATTATATACTATTATATTGAAAATATAATGAAAGTTTATATTATTACTCTACATTAAATATTAATTATATTATTAATTTTTTTTAATTTTTTCGTTTAATAAATAGCAATTAAATATTATTTTGAAAATAAATTAATATTTAAAATTTTTAAAAATTAACAATTAAATTAAATTATAACTTAATTAATGTATAACTGACCTATAACTGAATTATTTCTTAATTACAGTATTATTTAACACACAAGAATATGGATATTATATTGAAAAAATTTTTATTATTTATGTTATGAATAAAATTTATGTCAAGTATTATTTCAATAATAGCACATAAATATATTCGGTTAGAAACTTCTAACTTATATAATAATATTAATAATAATAATAATAAAATATAGCTACTCACAGGTGATGATTACAATGACCGTTCTAACGACGTACTCAACTAGTAATTGAACTGTAGCTGACATATGCTTTATTTTAGGTTGAATGTATTCGTTCCATGATATGTCAATGGCGACATAACATTGGAGTGAATGAGTAATAAAAATTGAGATAGCCAAAAGTATCTGTACAACAGTTGACAAAATTTCACCTTCGGGTAAGTTTTTCGTAATAGTACCATCCACTCCCTTTCCATGCCAAATATAACCAAATAGTCCCATACTAACGTATAAAACAATGTTAATACCCATGCCAATGTTTAAGATTCCAAAATTACTTATAAAGGATTTCGGGTTCTTCATCTCATTCTCCAAAGGCATTATCTAATAGAATAGTATTTATTTTTTTACTAATTACATTATTATTTTTAATCATATTAATAAATTAATTTTCTTGTAGCATTTATCTAGTTATAGGAAAAATTAATTAATTATTTTTAAAATATAATTATTAAAAATTAATTTTCATTTTTTAATAATTTATTGTTTTAAATGGACTGTATTAATTTCAGACCTAGATATATACATATTTCATAAATAATATTATTAAATTAGTAAAAGCATTTTTTAGTGGTTAATTAATTTAAAAATACATTTTTAAATATTTAAAGCAAAAAGTTATTTCAAAAAATTTGTAATATTTTTTATGCACTTTTTATCTTATTTATTTTATCATTAATTTTAAATACAATTTTTTTTACATTATAAATGATATCAATATTACTGCTAAATATTGAAATAATCTTCAAATTAGAAACGTTATTATTGTATATTTAGAATAAAGAATAGTTTTTCATTTTACAGTTTTAAGCGATAACAAAAATTCAATTTGCTGTAAATTTATTTTAAAATAATTTTATAATTCTAAATTTTAATATATAAATTTAATTTAATCAATAATGCCAAATAAAATTTCTGTAATAGTAAAAATATATTGTTCTTCGACTGTCAGTATTTAGTAAATAGAATTTTTATCACTTGACGACATTAGACAATTCTTGAAATTTTAATAAATATTTATAAAAGTTATTATTTATAAAAACTTTTATTTATAATTGTTTATACTTAGTTCGAATAGATTTTCTTAATTCTTGTATTTTCTTTTCATTTGCTTACATTTCATATGAAGGAACTATGATCAATAAAAATATTTTTTACTTTTACGCAACTATTATACATTTATACTTTTTTACTAATATATGTTGTTGTAAAATATATTCTCTTTATATTATGTTTAAATAAAATATTCATTACTATTATTTACAACTACAATCTAATCGAACTAGAGTAGAATAATCTAACCCAAAAATTTTATGTAAATTTTCATAATTACATATATGTTTTCATAAATAAATAGATAAAATTCGGTTTAATTACAATAATAATTAAATTGTGGAAATTATATAAGGATAAACAATTTATAAATTTAAAAGTATTTTTATTATTATTTAGGAAAATTTTTTAAAATCAATTATATATTAATTCAACAATTAAAATATTGTAAGCAATTAATAAGCAAAAACTTTTCAATATCTAATACAAATTAAATACAAAAAAATATTCATGGAATTAAAAGTTTTTCAATTTTCTTTTAAAAAATCCTTCTTTTAATAAAATCCAATAACAGTATTACATTGTTCAGTTTAAAAATAACTATACATAATTATAATACATAATGTCATTGATTTTTCCTTTTTTTAAAGCTTTGAAATAATAAATTACATAAAAAATGAAAATGTTTTTAAAAACAAACGTGTATTTAATTAAAATTTTCAAGGATCTGAAGCTTATATCATTATACGTAATCGTTATTAATTTCAATACATAATAGAAAATTGTCTTATTACGCTTTATGTGTTACCTGTAAACATATTTTATAAAAAATTAATTTTTAATAATTATTTATGAAAGTAAATAAAATAAAAATTAAACTACAATATTATTAAAGATTTTTTAAATATGTAGCAAATATACATACCACACCAATGGCTTCGAGTGCAAAGAGTACAGTACCCAAAAAAAGGGGAAAATTTGACATTTCCCCTACCTTATCTTTTCCTTCAAAACTTATAGGATCTCGAAATAGATAATATAATATTATACTAAAGCTGATAAAAGTAATTCCATTCGCAATTGTTGACAATGGAGCGAGTAATTTTAAATTTCGAACCCAATTTATCAGAATTAACGGTAAAAGAAGGGCTGCCATGTATATCCTTACATCTATAGATGTAACAAAATTATCTAAAGCCTAAAATACAATATTTATTTACAAATATTATTTGTAAAAATTCCATCATATTATTTATGGTATTTTTATAAATAAAAAAATTATGTTATAAAAAATTATTTGAAACTGTATATTATATAATAAAAATATTGATATTCAAATAAACATGCGTAAATCTCATCAACAAGTTTTATAGTAAGTAAACGTATTTTGCAATAATTATATTTGGTTTTAAATCAAACTATCGAGATTAAAGCAATTGCTAAACATGTTATTATAAGAAATACTAAATACATATTACATAAGTGAAATAATAGCTTATATATTATCATTTAATACATAACAAAAACATTACGTTTTTATTAATGCAAGTAAAATGTAATATTATAAATACCTATTGTTGCCTTAAAAAACAATATAATTTTAAATAAAATAGATAATAAAACAGATGATCTGAACGTAATGAAAATAATCATTAGTTTTCTAATTATTAATCAAATGAAATTACTTACCCTATATTAATTCAATTTAAAACTTATGTTTTTATATGAAAAATTTTTAAAATAATAAAGCATTTATTAAAAATTTTTATTCATATACTTTTCTTAAATATTTTATTATTTTATTATCTACATAAATACATGTTACTATTATTTTATACATAATTGATAAAATTATTATTTTTCTATTATATACTCTTTTATCTCTATTATTTATTGTATAAACAATTATTATAAAAATAATAAAAAATACATACTAGGAATGTCTAACCTTTTTAAGATTCTCGGCGATAAATACAGTATAAACGCAACAGGTACCCAATTGATAAACCAGCAGAAAAGTATTTGTAATATGACTGAAATATCAAGAGTGAAATATTATTTTAAGAGATAATTAACATATAAGCAATTATTTAAGTAAATTATTGTTTACTTGTATAGTTTTTAATAGGAATAACAAGATACTATGTTAGGAAAATTGAAAAAAATATTGATTCTTAAACAAAACAATATAATTCAATTCTTGATACAATTAACTCATTTCTTGATTTTATGAAAATATTTGAGAAATAAATATATTAACTATCAGAAAATTTTCAATACATTTAAATATTCAAATAATATTATATAACCATAAAATAAATTTCATTTAAGCAATTTTTAAAACTTTTAAAATTCGAATGGATATTGCAAAATTAAGTTTAAATTGATTTAAAAAATCCAAGTTGCAACATGTGTAATTATAGATTCTATCACTGTATAATTTATTATAGCGAATTTATAAAATATTTACGTAATAAATTATAATTAATACATATTATTGAACTGTTAATGATAATTTATTGAATAAGAAGAATAAGCTTTTAACTTTATTTTTATGTCTTTAAATGTTATAAATTAACAAATAATTCATGATAATTTATTCTTATTTAAATTAATCCATAATATATAAATAAATTTATCGAGCAAGAACAAAATACCCAATAATAAGCTAATAAAATGACTAAGGTAAGCTGTTGAAGTGTATTTAATATAATCATTTTACAATTTTGAATTCTCTATATATATTTAAAAATCGAAATATATAATTTGTCGAATTTAAAATACAACTTTATATCTCTTTAATAGCGATATAATAAATAAATTTTGAAGAAATTTTCCATATTATTTATTTTACTCATAGAAAAGCTTATTTGTAAAAATAATAATTTTAATATAAAATTTTATTGGAACATACGAATAATTTTTTGATTAATCGTTTCTAAATGAATTTTATGTTAACTATATTATATTTATGAACAAAAGGACAATAAATATTTATAACAAAAAATAATATTATTCATAACTTTGTGAAAATAGACCAAAAATATATCGGTACTTACGGACAATATTTCGCAAATCGTCTGAAGCACTGCGGCCCTTCTTCTAAAGAAGCTTCCATCGTTTTGGGATAAGTCATTGATGGAATTTTTCTTCTTTTACATATTTCAAATTCTGATTTAATCAAAGCACGTATGCAATAAGTTGATAGTAAACCGATAGTTATCGTCCCAATTACGCCTATCATGTAACCCGCGTTCTCGAACGCCTTTGGCATCGCCAAAATTCCTGTTCCTAAACTACCCTTCAGTAAATGGAACAGTGTTTCCCAAAATCTGTAAATTATATTATTTTTTTAAATAATAAACTTTTATTACTAATTTACCACTAATATATTAATAGTTTGAAAATATTTTTTTTATGATTTTTTAAATGATTTTTAATGAATATAATACAATTTGTTAATAATATCTTCAAATTAAAGAAAGAATTTACATTTTATTACTCTAAGAATATGCATAATTTAGGAAAAATATACATTATTATTTTATAATATAAATGAAATCGTCACGGAAAGGATTTGATGTAATTAAACCAACTACCAAATATACAACTGGTAAAATTTATAAATTAACATAATTTCAAATTAAACAATAAAATAGTGAATATATTCTGTTTTAATATTATCCAGCGCAATAATTCAATGGATAAATTCACAAGAAAACGAAACACAATAATATATTGAAAGAGCAATGTAAATAGATTCACTGAAATGCACGGCGATGCAGAAAGTCTAACAATTCAATTAAAACTGATTGCGCTAGCACAATCACGTCGTTGATATCTACATTATCTCGAAGAAAGTAAAATAGCATTTATATAACAAATGAGAAAGTTATGCGAATATAAATCATATAATGTAAGAATTTAAAAGAGTTTTAAATAAAATAATTCTTACTTTTTTCTTACAAATTTTCTTAGTAATAATTATTATCGTTAAAATTAATTTCTTATCAATGAACAAGCAATAGTTTTTTCATTCTTCAATTAGTTGTTATAAGCTGCTAGTGTTATTTCTTTATTTTGATATTTCTTTAACTATCTAATTTAATATTTTCAACAATACTATATAGTACAGTAATATTGTATAGATATATTTATTGATATAAATGACTGTTTTTTGTTCAATAGACCTTTTTGTTATTTTTATTAACATTATTACATTACAACGTAGTCATAAATTAAATATAATCTATTTATAGCCATTTATGAATAGTTTATTTATTAATATTTGATTATTTAATTTTATGCATTACTTAATAGTATAAGTACTTAATAATTTTTTCGTTATTTATAATACTAATATTATTTTCTACTTAATATAGTTTTTATAATGTAGAATAAATATATTCCTTTATACTTAAAAATAATAAACTTCATTAAATTTTAATAAAAACATGATATACTTAATACATAAATACCTCGTGTATATTTTCTAGTATATAATATATATAAGTTTTTTCTTTCTTTGATATAAATATTTTTTAATTTAAATAACTAAATTGTTTTATTGAAAAAATCTTTTTTAAAAACTAATTAAATATTTTTTTAAAAATTCAAGATATTTAATTATTAATACGTTCAATTTAAAACTATAATTTATTAAATGATTATTAATTATAACTATTTGCTAACTATTGCAAAAATTATGAAAATCTATTCATAAAAATGTCCTATAACTGAATATTTTAAAATATAAATAAGCTTTTTAAAATTATTCAATCATTATTTTTAGGAAGTTGTAATTGAATATATATTAATTTAAATCTTTTAATATACAATGAAATAAATTAAAAGTATAAAAAATATAAACGTCTTGGCTTCGAAATAGGACAGAAATAATGGTAAAAAGTGTATCGTCCACGCAGTAACAAATTATGGCTATTGAAATGAGAAACTGAAGCCAAAATATGAATACAAATGAAGGCTATACTATGTGGAGATACATACATTTAGCCGCATACATTATTGCATTAAACTCACGTGGTTGGGTGTTGAACTTTCCGGTGCTTGTACGGATCGTAGTCTCCTTCTAACTCTTTAGTAATTTTCTTCTTGTCTTCAAGCTCAACAATATGAAAACAATTTGAATTATCTTTCATTACATACCTGTAAGAATGCAAAATCCAAAATAAACAGAGAAGTGCTTTTCTAAAGATTTACGTTTTTCTTTCAATGCATCATACTTTCTATTTAAAATATTACGTTTTTTATAAATGTAAAATCAGTATTTTTATAAAAATTATTTATAAATTATAAAAAATATATGCTTAATTAATATAATGTTTTTAAAAATCTACAAGTATATCGAAAGGTTCATTTTTGAATAATTAAAAAAAATTTACATAATTTTTTATTATTTAAATAAATATAAATATCATGATAAAAACATTATTGACTAGTAATGTATGTAAAATTATTTTTATGGAGATATTTATTATTTGAGAAGTCTTAAATAATTTGAATTCTATTTTATTTCTTCACATATATAATCTTAACGGTTTAACTTACTTGCTGGTACGATTTTCAAATCCAGATTGCCTTTTTATATCAACAGCATCCTAAAATTAGTTTGATAATATATGTATATTTAATATAGCTTTTATATACTATATAACATATTAATTCAAATTCACATTTTTTTAAATCATATAATCAATAAGTACATGCAATTTGAAATAAAAACATATATAAATTCTGACAATAAAATAATAAAAAAAATTTTTCATTATATATAATAATATTTACATACATTTTATAAAGTTAAATAATAAATTCAAAAGATGTGTTAATACATACTCTTTGACCTTATTTAAAAATAAGCTATTTAAATAATTATATTTCTTATTGCAATTCAGTTTAAAAATAGAAATAAAGAAAATAAATAAATAAATTTAATTAAACAATATAATAGCACAAAGAGAGAAAATTTTTAAGATAATATATATATATAGAATACAATATTATACAGAATTTTACCTTTATATAAAATTAATTGAATTTAATTAATGTATTCAATTTTTGTTTAATTTAGGTAATAAGAAGATTATAAAAATTCAAAGAAAAATATATTTGAAAAAAAAATATAATTTAAATAAATATACTGATATTAGTATATTTCTTACAATAAATTAAGTTTATTAATAGATTTAATAAAAACATTACTGAAAAATAAACTATATTTACTGTGTATCGATAATTAAATACTGAAGTATACTTAAGAAAAAATTAATATTGCATCATTTTTAAATGTAACGTGTATTTGATTAAAAAACATGTGCATTATGTGCCTCTATTGATAGTTATCTTTAGATTTCCAATATAAAATATTATTATCAGTAAATTATTATTAATTATGCTCAGTATATCAACATATTCATTTGTTCAATATATATAATAACAAGATGTAGTTGTAGATTTTAGAGGATTATTTAATATTTATAATTATTTTTCAAAGAATAAAATAGAAATATGATAATATTATATAACTTCAATATCTATTTGGTTGATTGCGTGAATTTTATTTTTATTGAATGTTAATAATATTTTACTAATTAATTTTTAATCTTTTTAGTAATATTAAATTAACCTAAATTTCATATTATGTCATTTTTCTCATTAGAAAAAATGACACTTGAAATTAATTTATGTATAAGCTAGTAAATAGTAATTGCAAAAAATAAATTCTCAGTACTTGACGTAGTAAAATAAAAACTAATAATAAACTGTATTTACTTTCATTTTCTACTATAATGATGTTTTCAGTTAAGATATAATTATTTAAATGAAATTTTTAAATATTCAAAAATATTGATTAATGAAAATAAATAATATAATAAATATACAACATTTTAAGATTAAAAAAAATTTACAGAATAAAAAATTCTGAACAATTATTAAAAATATATGGATACAGATATATTTATATCTGCTGATGATGTAATCTTATAAAATGTGTAAAATATTTATTTTTATAATAATAAAATCAATATGGTTTCTAATGTGACTAGAGTGTAAACTAACGTAAGACATTAGATCAAAATATATTGTCCATTAATAAATAAAATTTCAAGAATTTTTAAATATATAAAGACAGTAAAAAAATGAGTCAATACATTTTTATTAAATTTATAAATAAAGAATAATAAAGTATTTACTGTATAATAATTTGTAATAACATATAAATGAACGATTAATCTATTTTTATTTATCAAATATTTTATACATATTTTAAAGCTAAAATTATCAAGCTTATTATTTATTACTGGAGCATTATATAAAATAATATATTTAGATTAATTTAAACTTATTACTGGAATAGTGCATAAAATTATATATTCGATTCAATATATATTGTACATTTATTGCCATAGATCTTCCAATATACAAAAGAAAATTAAAAGTTACATAATGGAATATTTGTTAAAATTCAATTTTTTCAGTTAAATAATTTTTCCTACAGCTTTGTATTCACTAAATAAATCATATATTTATGTTGTAACACTTAAATTATTATTTTAATATTATTTAATTTAAATATTTAACTCAAAAATAAAAAATATATATAGAAAACAAATTTTCATATAAATGAATAGAATAAGAAATAAGACAAAATTAAATAACTAGTTTACTTTATTCTTTGAAATTGAATTCTTCACTTAGTTTGACTTGTGTAATAATATCAAATTTTTCTTTTTTCTCATAGGTTGGCACAGAATACCCGAAATCCATCGTGTTCCTTGTAAAAGTTTATACAAGGAAATTATAAAAATAATTTCAATTTTAAATATTGTCATCTAAAACATATGTATCGTTAATAATTTTTTTGTAAATAATAAATAATCATTTTATTTCAATTATAATATCATAATTTTTTATCTTAAGATGTTTATTTATCTGATAAATAATATATTTTATTCAATATTTTCTGAAAATTATTGGATTGTTTTTTAACTATAGTGAATTTTTCAATTACTTTGAACTATAGTGAAGTTTTCAATAACGACAACTGACTGATCAGATCTTATTATATTAATAAATCATAAAAATAGAATGTAAACTCCAGTATTGAACGCATACTATTTTATCTTCACGTTGATAATTAATACTATGAAAATAAAAATTTAATTATAATGTCAAATTAATACTTATAGAACAAAACTGATTTTGATTTAATTTTATTTAAAAACCTTTTAAGATTTAGATGTATATGTACATCATATATTTCATATCTGTTCATAAATAAAGTAAAGATATATAAAAAATATATTTATCATATTATTATCGAAATCACTTCATGAAAAGAAGATTGCTACATGGAGAAAATAGATTTTAAGCTTTTACCACGATTTTCATTTTTCAAAGTATTAAGATTGAATCTTTGATTACATAATATACGATTATTGAAAATCATTTCATATCATTGTTTAATTTTTAGAACCTCGTCGGAGCATCTACTAATAAATAATTATTGGTACCTTAAACTAACATTTTGAAATTACATTTTGATTTAAGCATGCATTCGTAAAATGATAAAATTTTAATTATAATGGAATAACTGCAATAATGGAATAAATTATTTTCGAAATATTAAATGTAATATTTTTAAAATGCATATGTATAATTTTTTTACTTGTACATGTTAAATTTTAAGTATATTATTCTACATTGGATAAAAGTTAATTAGTCTTAAGCGAATATAATTAGAAAATATAATTAAAAAACGTACGAAAAATATAAGTAGAAGAAATGCAAAATAATTTTGAATTATTAAATCGGTATTGATTCAATTCCAAAATATTTTGAAATATTATATTCAGTATTTAGACTTATATATTTAAAAGAATATATCTTTTTAAAATAATAATTTTCAATTTGAGTTTCGAGTATATAATTATCATTCACAATCAAATATAAATATTATATCGTTGGAATTTTCTTCTGCTTTAAAAAATTTCTTGGTTTAATATTGGGTAAATGAGTTAAAATGATTTGTTAAAAAAGTGAGAGTTTTATTTATTTTTCTTATATATTTTTTTTATTTTATGTTTATGTTATTCAATTTATGTAATTGAACAATATATTTAAAAAAATAAACTCTAATTGCAAAGTAATAATTTAAAAAAATGTAGACTTTATGTAAATAACGGATATAAAAATAAAATCTTTTACAGTTATTTTTGGGTAAAGTTGAAAATAATTATAAATTACTTTAGTCTTGAGTAGCAATATTTTTTAAATAAATTATAAATTTTGATAAGAAAAACAAAATTCTATATTTAGCATATATATGCAATACGTATATATTATAAGCAATATTTATTTCGGATAAAAATACAAATAATTCTACTTTTCATAAAAAAAACGTTAATATTGATATTAATATTAATATTAATATTCATAATATAAAATTGAGATTCGTTAAAGATTATATCATTTAGAATTATTAGCCAATTGAGAATACGCATTATTCATATTATTATAAATACAATTTCAAAAATCAGTATCTTTTGTTAATTCTTCTGGTTTAAACATAATTTCGTTAAATATATTTCGCTCTGAACTTATTAAAGTCAAGTATATTTATATTAAATTGCTTAATTATAATATTTTACCAAAGTAATATGAATTATTGAAATTGGAAAATCGGAAAATAAATAAGAACATATCTAAAATTTAAACATCTATTTAAAAAAAAATTTTTACATTAAGAATATTGATTACTCACAAAACATGTTTTTATTTAGCCATATATATATAGAATAATAATAATTTATAAAATTTCTTATTAAAAATATATTTATCTTATTGTAACAATTGTATATTTACTTTTTATTCTCACAATTTTAAAAGATTTTTAGAAACTAAAGAGTTTAATAAGAATAATAATTCTGTTTCATTGTTTTGTTTGTTCAGTTTCAAGAGTTCTAAAATAACTATAAGTACTAAGTTTCGTTTCTAGATATAATTTCTAAAAATTTAAGTTACGAAAACAAACATTATCTTCATAGTAACAAATGAGATTAATTCAATGTATGTAATCACTAATAATTTTATAATCGATTAGCAAATTAGATTTAAATAAGTAAATATCTGTAAAACTTGTAATATATCTTCTCATTCTTTATAATTATTTATTATAAATTTTAATACAAGATTTACTTTATTTATATCCATATATCGTAATTTTTCAAATAATTTCTTTTAAATAAAATTTCAATATATTTAAATAACTTAAAAATATATTAAAAAATTTATATTGATCGAATACTTTATTATCATAGAAATATGTTTTATTTATAAAATCTTAAAAAGTAATAAAAACAAAAATAATAAAAAGATATTAAAAAATGATATAAAATAATAACTAATTATTAAATAAATATAAAAATCTTCTGTACAATAAAAATTTAGAAAAGAAATAATAAACTTAACATAAAACTAATTTTGAAAATCAAATTCAAAACTGAATAGTAGGTATTATTAATAAAGATTTAATATTATAAAATAAAATATTAACGTGACACATTTTAAATTTATAGCATACTTCTTTCAGA